TAAGTGAATGTAATGCATTCAACTGGAATTCGACTGCGATTCCTCAATCCAAGCCGCTATCCATTACTCCACCGTGCCTCCTCTCTAACTAATATATATATATATATATAAAAAACACACACACACACATACATATAATATTAGACATATATTAGTTGGTAACACAACAATACTTACACATACACCTAGTAAAAAAGTACCTTCAGATATTGGAGGCCATCTACATTAAAACAAATCAACCCACACTCAACAAAATTACATGTCAAACTAGTCATAAAACATTACATTGCATGTAGACATGTTGTTATGTTGTTAATATTTTGGTCTCTCACATGGTATGGGGTCATGAATTTATGACCTGCATCTTGTATTCTGCGACCATTATCGTTGCATAGTAATCTTCTATGTCAACAGAATATCATCTTTGATGGGGAATATCTTTGTTTAAATGTCCAGATAACCATCTCTGAAGATGATTCATATGAGCTGAGAGCTTAGAGCAAGGAATGGTTTAATAAAAAATATCTAAATTTTTGTCTTTATTTTTAACTGAAATTAAAGCAAATATACAGAGTTTGGAACGGCTCATGATCAAACATAATAGACCTTCATTGTCTGTTATATTTAACAATATATGTTTTTATTGATAGGTAAAAAATCTGTGATCCAAGTGAATCCTTTTAATATAGTATATTAAAACTGATCCACAACAGAGAGCTCAATATATTTATTATAGAGCCAAGAAATAAATTACATAAAAATGAAACTCAATTTTACCCCATTTTTATGGCCATTTTGCTCCTTGGGATAAATTCCCTGGAGCTTGTCAATACTAAAATATTTGATTTTAAAAAAAAAAAAAAAAAATCCAATTTTTTTTTTTTTTTTTTTTCAAACATACATAGTGTGTGCATGTATATACTCAATTAAATAAAATTTTCTTTACTTGGAAATTCTATCATGGATGTTTTTCTCTTGCAATTTTCCTTCCTTCCCTTTTCTGATTAATTTTTTTCTCAATCTTTACAGTCTGTACCTGTGTCTCTTTTCTTTCAAATCCGTACCTGTCTTTTCTATCTTACGTCTGTACCTGTCTCTTTCTATCTTACCGTCTTACCGTCTCTTTCTATCTTACCGTCTGTATCTCTTTCTATCTTACCGTCCGTACCTGTCTCTTTCTATCTTACCGTCCATACCTGTCTCTTTCTATCTTACCGTCCGTACCTGTCTCTTTCTATCTTACCGTCCGTACCTGTCTCTTTCTATCTTACCGTCCGTACCTGTCTCTTTCTATCTTACCGTCCGTACCTGTCTCTTTCTATCTTACCGTCCGTACCTGTCTCTTTCTATCTTACCGTCCGTCCTGTCTCTTTCTATCTTACCGTCCGTACCTGTCTCTTTCTATCTTACCGTCCGTACCTGTCTCTTTCTATCTTACCGTCCGTACCTGTCTCTTTCTATCTTATCTGTCTCTTTCTATCTTACGTCCGTACCTGTCTCTTTCTATCTTACCGTCCGTACCTGTCTTTTCTATCTTACCGTCCGTACCTGTCTCTTTCTATCTTACCGTCCGTGCCTGTCTCTTTCTATCTTACCGTCCGTACCTGTCTCTTTTCTATCTTACCGTCCGTACCTGTCTCTTTCTATCTTACCGTCCGTACCTGTCTCTTTCTATCTTACCGTCCCGTACCTGTCTCTTTCTATCTTACCGTCCGTACCTGTCTCTTTCTATCTTACCGTCCCGTACCTGTCTCTTTCTATCTTACCGTCCGTACCTGTGTCTCTTTCTATCTTACCGTCCATTACCTGTCTCTTTCTATCTTACCGTCCGTACCTGTCTCTTTCTATCTTACCGTCCGTACCTGTCTCTTTCTATCTTACCGTCCGTACCTGTCTCTTTCTATCTTACCGTCCGTACCTGTCTCTTTCTATCTTACCGTCCGTGCCGTCTCTTTCTATCTTACGTCCATTCCTGTCTCTTTCTATCTTACCGTCCGTACCTGTCTCTTTCTATCTTACCGTCCGTACCAGTCTCTTTCTATCTTACCGTCCGTACCCGTCTCTTTCTATCTTACCGTCCGTACCCGTCTCTTTCTATCTTACCGTCCGTACCCGTCTCTTTCTATCTTACCGTCCGTACCCGTCTCTTTCTATCTTACCGTCCGTACCCGTCTCTTTCTATCTTACCCGTCCGTACCTGTCTCTTTCTATCTTATCTTACCTGTCTCTTTTCTATCTTTACCGTCTCTTTCTCTCTTTCTATCCCGTCGTACCGTCTCTTTCTATCTTACCGTCCGTACCTGTCTCTTTCTATCTTACCGTCCGTACCTGTCTCTTTCTATCTTACCGTCCGTACCGTCTCTTTCTATCTTACCGTATCTTCTCTTTCTTTCCGTCCGTTCTTTTCCTATCTTACCGTCCGTCCTGTCTCTTTTCTATCTTACCGTCCATCTTACCTCGTCCTTCTCTATCTACCGTCCGTCCGTGTCTCTTTCTATGACTATAAATTTAACTCCTACCCTCTCTAGAGCAGGGAAACTTTAAAATAAGCACATAGCAAATTTAAATAAATGAAATGAAAATACAAAAATTACTTTCTCCCTCTCCCAAATCATGCCTCTCCACAGCTTCCTTTCTTTCTCCTTTGTCATTGTAGTAGTTGTTCTGCCATCCATTTATTCAGTATTGTCAAGTAGATGACTTCCAGTTTTCTTCTCTGCTTCTCTTGCCTGCAGTACAGCCTGTGAGTGTTAAAGTCTCCAAATCTTCTTTCCTCATAGTGATTGTTAGGAGTAAATTATTTATCATTCCATTTTTCTTATTTGTTTCTCACATGCTGGTAGTTTCAACATTTTTTTCAATAAAAATTCATCTTTTATCTCTTCAATTTCTTTCTTCATTTACAAGAAAATTGTCCAGAATTCACTACCATAGAGGAGAGTAGACATTACCTCACAATCTTTTCTTTGTTTCTAATGACATTTATCAATCCCTTAATACGTACAGCATCAAGGTCTCTGATCGGGAGGTTTTGGGGAGCGTGGAATCACCTCTTAATTGTTGTTGTACCCAGGACCACCTTGACCCAGGGTGGTAGCACCTGTCAGGGTCCCAGCTAGAGGCAAATAATGAACCCCCAAACTATAAATTACCAGCAATAGATTTTTGGAAAATAAAAGATAAAATTTCAGCATTAAATGACACCTAAGTAATTGATATTCTGTTAAATGAACTAAACCAAACCAATCCCATAATACCTTGCCCATTTTTTTAAAAGCATCTATGTGCTTTCAAATATCTGCCAGATAGTCTACTGTATATTACTATGAAATCCAGTGAGTTAAATTCCTGCATCTGCTGGATTTTTATATCATCAATGCATTCAGTTGTTCATTCAGCTCACAACCATGAATTACATCCCCTTAAAGTTAGTGGTTAGACCTTTCTTCTTGTTATCCTTGACTATCTTGTTTAATAGTGGCACTTAGCAGTTTTGATAGTTCTAATTGTGATCTTTAGCAGATTTAGCATTTTCCAATAGTGGGTCTTAGCAGATTTAGCATTTTCCAATAGTGGCTCTTAGCAGATTTAGCATTTTCCAATAGTGGCTCTTAGCAGATTTAGCATTTTCCAATAGTGGCTCTCAGCAGATTTAGCATTTTCCAATAGTGGCTCTCAGCAGATTTAGCATTTTCAATAGTGGCTCTTAGCAGATTTTTCAATAGTGGCTCTTAGCAGATTTTCCATTTTCCAATGGTGGCTCTTAGCAGATTTAGCATTTTCCATAGTAGTGGCTCTTAGCAGATTTAGCATTTTCAATAGTGGCTCTTAGCAGATTTAGCATTTTCCAATAGTGGCTCTTAGCAGATTTAGCATTTTCCAATAGTGGCTCTTAGCAGATTTAGCATTTTCCAATAGTGGCTCTTAGCAGATTTAGCATTTTCCAATAGTGGCTCTTAGCAGATTTAGCATTTTCCAATAGTGGCTCTTAGCAGATTTAGCATTTTCCAATAGTGGCTCTTAGCAGATTTAGCATTTTCCAATAGTGGCTCTTAGCAGTTTTGATAGTTCTAATTGTAATCTTTGGCAGTTTTAGCAGTTTCCAATAGTGGCTCTTGGCAGTTTCCAATAGTGGCTCTTGGCAGTTTCCAATAGTGGTTTTTAGCAATTCTAATAGTTCCAGTAGCAGCTTTTAGCAGTTGTAATAGTTTCAATAGTGACCCTTAGCAGTTTTAATGGTTCTAATTGTGGTTCTTAGCAGTTCTAATAGTGTCCCTCTAGCAGTTTTAATAGTTGTAATAGTCTCTTAGTAGTTTTTATCCTTTTGCTAAGGCCCCTGCTCCAAAATCCATTTGCACAAGCTCATCAGGTAAGTGGCTCACTGCTTTCCCCTATCACTCTTGTCCTCATTATGTCCCATATGGGTGAAGTTTTCCAAATCTTCCTTTCTTATTATGTGTCTAAGTTTTTTCAGCTGTCTTTTCCCAATTCTGTGTTCTTTTTGTTGCCATTTTCTTAAAGACTTCCTTGTTACTTACTTACTTCATCCATGAAATTTTCAATGTACTTTTCAAATAACCATAAATCCTGGCCTGTTTTCTTGTCCTCTTAAAATACTTTCATCATACAGGTTAAATAAATTCTTTCTCTTTTTGTGCATCGATTTATCTTTTTCTCTTATCAGCATGCAAGTTGTGTGTCGTCAGTAATAAAGAAGAAAAAAAAATGTTACCAATATTTAATTTTTTTATGCTGCTCTCTTTCCTATTGTCTTTTTGTTTTACTGAACGACTCGATTGTTAAAATTTGAGAGCCTTTTGATTCATCTGTATTGTTTGGAAGAGTTTTATCTATTTTTCCTAATTTCATGAAATTATATCCTTTTTATTTATTATCCTTATTTCCTTTTATCATTCTGTCATAATATTTTTCTTCGATATACAGCTAAGAAATCCCAATTTCACATTTTTTTCTTTTTGTAAATAAAAATATTTTATGTCTGCCAATATTTGTATTTTGATGAGGCGAGTTCTCAAGGAATCTACAAAATGTGGTTATTATAGTTTTTTCCTGATTGTGTATGGAAACAAAGCACATTCCAATTGTTGTTGATGATTGGTGTCATATTATTCTTCCTTTTCTTTCTTCTTCCTCTCTTCTGCCATCTTTTTCTTCCACTAATCTCTCTTTCTGTCTTCCTCTTTCCTTTCATTTTTTCTTCATCTTCTTCATTATCATCAGGAAAATATTAATGTTTACATCTTTCCATATTCTCCTTTTTCTTACAGACTTTTTTCTTTCCATCTTTTTTCTTTCCATCTTTTTTCTTTCCATCTTTTTTCTTTCCATCTTTTTTCTTTCCATCTTTTTTCTTTCCATCTTTTTTCTTTCCATCTTTTTTCTTTCCATCTTTTTTCTTTCCATCTTTTTTCTTTCCATCTTTTTTTTCCATCTTTTTCTTTCCATCTTTTTTTCTTTCCATCTTTTTTCTTTCCATCTTTTTTCTTTCCATCTTTTTTCTTTCCATCTTTTTTCTTTCCATCTTTTTTCTTTCCATCTTTTTTCTTTCCATCTTTTTTCTTTCCATCTTTTTTCTTTCCATCTTTTTTCTTCTTCTTCTCATCTTCTTTTTCTTCATTTTCCCCACTGTCTTCTTCAACTTCTAATCATCTCCCCTCCCTTACTGTCTCCTTTCTTCTATTAATATTCTCAGTGTTTGTCTTCTTTTTCTTCTTCTTCCTTTCATCTTCCTTATCGTCAAGAACATTGCTTTTTTCATATCTTCTTATTTTAATACTAATGTCTGTCTGTCTTCTCCATTTTCTCCTTTTTCTTTTTATCATTTTTGTCTTCTTTTTCTTACCAGCTTATCTTCTTCATTTTACCATTTTTGTTTTTGTCTTCCCATCTTCTTCATCAAGAACATTCCTTCTTTTTCCCATTTTCTTCTTATTAATGTTTGTTTTTATCTTATCTTTTTCATTTTACCGTCTTTGTTTTCTTCTTTTCTTCCTTTTTCTTCTTTTTACCATTTTTTTCCTTTGTCTTCCTTCTTCTTCATCAAGAACATTTTCCTTCTTTTTTCCCATTTCCTTCTTCTTTTCTTCCTTTTCCTTCTTTGTTTTTATTTTCTTATCTTTTTTCATTTTTTCCGTCTTTTTCCTTTTCTTTCTTTTTTCTTCCTTTTCCTTCTTCTTTTCTTCCTTTTCCTTCTTCTTTTCTTCCTTTTCCTTCTTCTTTTCTTCCTTTTCCTTCTTCTTTTCTTCCTTTTCCTTCTTCTTTTCTTCCTTTTCCTTCTTCTTTTCTTCATTTCTTATCTTTTTCATGTTACCATTTTTGTTTTTGTCTTCCATCTTCATTTTCCTATTTTCTTACATTTATTATTAATGTTTATGTTTTCTTATCTCCTTCTTCCTATTATTATTATTATTATCTTTTTCTTTTTGTTCTGTTCTTCTTTTCGTTCTTCTTTTTGTTCTGTTCTTCTTTTCGTTCTTCTTTTTGTTCTGTTCTTCTTTTCGTTCTTTTCTTTTCCATTTTTCCATTTTACCATTTTTGTCTTTGTCTTTCCATCTTCTTCATTATCACCAAGAACATTTCTTCTTTCTATATTATATTTATTAATATTTACATCTTCATCCTATTTCCTTTTTCTTCCTATCTCCCCACCTTCTCCTTCTGTCGTCTTCCTATTCTTTTTATTATCAACCTCTTTAGTTTTCTTCCTATTTTTTCTTTCATTGTTTTCTTTGCTCTTACTCAATATTCCAATTCTCACCGTTGCTTCTCATTTTATTTTCCTTTATTTTTTCTCTTCCCATTTTTCTTCTTCTTCTTCTTCATCTCCAGTTTGCTTCTTTCTTCTCTCTTTTTTTCTCCCCCTTCAGTTCTTTTTATTCTCCTTCCCTTATTTTCTTTATCTTACTTTTCAATTTCTTTCCACCCTCTCTATTCAATCACTCTCATCCTTTCCTTTTGTTTTTCAGTTCTTCTCCATTTCCTTCACCTCTTCTTTCTACTTTCACTTTCTGTTTATTTTCAGATATACATTTCACTTTTTTCTCTATTCCTAATGATTCGCCATCCTTCCTCATCAGCACCACGTCAACGCCCTATAGTTGCAATAAGAAAAATCTATAGTTTTCCCAATTTTCTTTATTAACTTTATTTTCCCCAACATTTACATTTTTTTTTCCTCCTGAATAAGAAAAATCTTTCTGGCAAATTTGAGATCATTATTTCTAATCGGCTTAATATTAACAATGTTTGAGAATTACAAAATATAGGTAAATGGCTGTAGGCTGTGCCACATATCTGACTGGCTTGATGTAATTCTATACAAATCCTTAAATTATCAGTTAATCATGATAGAGATATGAATATGTATTATAGTGTATCATTCATTTTATATAAATTTGGTGTTTGGTGATATTAAGCAGTCTTATCTGCTGCATAATATTAGGAAAGTAATTTCATATCTTATAATAATGATGAGCTTGT